CGCTGTACTGTATTCGTTACGTTGGAGACTCTCTAGGGCCATCCAGCGTATGGGTCGGTTCTCGTTATCACCGAGACAATGATAGTCCTGAGGGAAGAGATCTCGAGCCAGGGCAGCGTCAGCTAGTCTCACACGGAGACTGCCCGGTTCGATTATGCAATTTCTGGCAGCAATATCCCTAGAAATTATCGATTTTACGATGAAAATTATCGTTGACATTTTGGTGAGAGCTATGTGTAGCGATCATGTACACCGCAAGGAATAACAACATTATCTTTAATGATAGCTCTGATCGCAACCCACAATCTATTTTATTATTTATTCAAATAAAATAAATAGATTTTTAAGCCAATTTATGCCTGATTTAATAATATATAATTATTAATTATATAAAAATAAGTTTATTTGTGATATAATTCATATTGTTCTGAGAAGTTTGTTGAATAACGAACTATTATATTATGTTTTTATTTTAAGCTAGAAAATTACTTACGCTTAAATTAGAAAAAAAATTGATAATTTATGATAACACGCGATAAAATTTATTTATTATTGATTTCATAGAAGACGTAAATGATGTTTTAGGCCAATTTACCTGTGTAGCAGACCTCGCCCATGAAGAAACGCTCCAGCTCGAGCAACCTGCGCACCAACATGCACCAAATCTCTGGTCACGGGATGGTGATTTCCATCCGTAAGGTAGACCTTCAGGTTAAGCTCACCAGGCGTGCTTGTATAAGCCAGTAAAGGACATGAACTGTCCAGACAAGCGGCCGCCAAAGAGGCGATGTTTGTATGAACTAATCCAGCCAGTTGCGAGCCTTCCACCACCAAAAGAGAAGCTTGGTAAGCGGATGCTACCTCTAAAACAAACAGTATTATCGAGTATCAGTGATAGTTTAATTAAAGCGACCACATGTTTATCAGAAACATTTGTTTTATCGGAAACCTATTTTTCTGTGTGTTGTTTTAAAACTGTTTATTTTGGTAATACATTCAATAATTAACTAAAATCACGTATAAAAACAGATTTATAATTATTTAATTTTACTAAATGTTAATCTATCCAACCATGTAGGATCATGGATAGCCGATAGTGGATATAATAACTTTCTATTTTATCTTGAACAGATATTCTCTTAATCTATCATTTTAATCTTTTTCTCGAAAAGATGTTTGAGGTATGATTTTGCATTAATTTACAAATTTGTTAAACAAATTATTTTTTGTTAAATTGAAAATTTCAACTAACAAAATAATGTATTCCTTTAAAAATCTGTAATCGCAATAAATGCGACTTGCATTGTGTATGATTATTTAACATTATTTTTTAACTAATAATAAGTCCTACCTGTAACCGTTTTTATGATGACTTCTTGCTCCCGTCCAGCTAACTCCAAAGTTCCTTTGTATACGCGACCGAAAGTCCCTTCCTGCACGAGAGTACGGCAGTATAACGCCGATCTCGATACTGCGAGTGCTCGGGCCTTTTCACACGGATCGGTCGACTAAAAATCCATAAAACATATCCTCTAAACTAATTTGATAAAAATAAAGAATATTTTAAAGAGGCTATTATGTGTATAATAAATAGATTTACTGAATAAAAATTTGACTCTCAATAATAATTAATAATAATAAGTAATAAGCAATAATAAGTTAAACAAGATCACTATATTAATGAAATAAGTAAAAAAGCAAAACACAATTGAGACTAAATATTGTTGCTTAATAATAATAATAATATTTCTATGTAAATTTTAAATCATCTTGCAATTATTTGAACTGTGAGCTAATTATTATTGAATTTACAACGCAATTATAAATTAAATTGGTTATCGATTTGTTATTAATACTATTATATTAGTGTCTTAAAATACTCTAAAGAATTTATAACAAAAACTGTTATCTCAGCCAGGATTCAAACTTCCTGACTGTCCAGGATGGATACTTTTTTTAATTTGATCACCAAGTGATAATATTTTTATATAATAGTTTACATAAAAATATTATAAGCCACCAATATTTAGCCTTTCAACCATGTTTGGCTCTTCTTTACTTATATTTGATTTGTTAATAGCAAGAAGAATAGTTTCTCTCTCTAGAATAAAATTACAAAAAGCGAAGGACGAAAAATGTAATTGTCGATGAGAAATGAGTAAACTGCGCGTGATTATATATTAGTATTAACAACCCGAGCCCTGCTGTCGTTTAAAATCTCAATTGCGCGTGGGCGCGCCTGCATAATTCATAACTTCTGAAAAAAAAAGACCTCATCAGTTGGGGATTCATTAAAAAGGCATTTGTCGTGTGTAAGGTGACGCCGCGCCGACGACGAGACCTCGGCGCGGGTCCTCCGGGGACGCGTAGGGAAGAATCCTCCTCCGCCCCCGTAGGTCGTTATGGCATCGCCGCGCGGTCCTCTTTGTTCGCCAGGCGGATTTCCATCGGAGTCGACGTAAAACGCGAGAAAGCTACGCGGACGCGCGCACGGGAGGGGTGACTATTCATTAATTTCAATTTTCCGGAGTTTTGCCTTCGACCCCCGCCCGTTCCATTTGGACGTACGCACACGCGCACGCCCACGTATATAGACGGAAACGAGCGGCGCGGCGGGTGGAGAAACAGGATGGAGACATGACGGGGAGAAATGAAAAGGAAAAAAAAAATGCGAAAGGAGACGACGTAAAAACCAGTTCGAAACACGTCGATGCGACCGCACTGCGAAATTACCGGGCGATATATTGGATTCGAGAAAGGGGTGCGCGACGGCGGCGGCGGCGGCAATTCGAATGGCCGGTAACGCCGTTCCGGGGTTGATTCCGGGGATTGGTCCGCGGAGTGGTCTCGGAAATTATTTACGAAATTCCCGGATAGCGCGGGATGCTCGGTGAAAATGCAAACACCGCGGCTAATTCCGCGGCTTATCGGGGTCTGTGATTATTGCAGAGGCGAATTGTGTCGGCGCGTCTGGCGAACGTTGTTTTCGCACGAACAACGGGAAAGCCTGAACGCGGACGAATTCGCAATTCGTCGATTTCGCTTTCCCTCGCGGTTATATTTTCTTCTTTTTTCCCCTGCGGTTTGGGTGCCTATGTATGCGCTCGCGTGTGCTTTTTTTTTTTTTTTCGTTTTCCGATGAAAATGTGATGAGCGAGGTGGAAATTGCTGGACGGGGGGCCGCGCGACGCGTTAAAGGTGCGAATGGAATTCGTTGTGTTGCGTAACGAAGCTATAAATATAAATTAGATTGGGATTTTAAGAATTAAAGTGTTTCATATATTCTTTTCAGTAATTTACTCTAACGTGATTAATCTAAAAACTTTTGAAATAATTTTTAATTAAATATTATGCTGCGTGATTACATGATCGTTGCGTTCAGTAAAGTATTGATCGCTATTAAATTAATGTTGGTAGTTCCGAAGAAAATACATCGATATATATATACAAGCGAAATGAACCGATTATTGTATTATTACTTCTTTTCCAGCTCTTCATATGTTTTGTAACTATTACATACATTTTATATTTATAATATATTGTTAATGTTTATAATACTTTTTGTTTACTGTTTGCCTTAATTTATTTATTAATCAAGCTGTTGAATATATTACTCAGGCTAGGAATTAAATCATTATTTAGCTGTAGCTCGCTTTTTGTCTGTAATTAATATCTTTATTTATATCGTATTTACAAACGCATTATTCAATATGTCTTTTTATTATTTACACATTCAATAAAGTAATTATTATTATTATTAAGTTAACAATTCATGTTCGCGTTCTGAATTAAAAACAAAAATCAAGATTTGAAATCGAATAATTCATCGCGTATTACTTATTTATCAAAACTAAAATAATGGAAGATACGTTTTGCCGTTTGGTTAGACAACTATCCGAAATTTTTCGTACATCTAGTAATGGATATTACTTCGCTATTTACATTACGGAATCAGAATCATAGTATCGACCATGTAGCGCCACGGGCAGAGCGTTTTTAGCTCATCCAGCGCGGAGCAGCAATTTGATTTATTTACTGAAAGGCTTTCGTCAAACATCACGTTCGTTCGTTCACTCATTCGTTCGTTCGTTCGTTCGTTCGTTCGACCCGCTGAAGGCGCTCTAAAAGCTTCGTTTTCAGACTACCACGCTCGACATGCCCACAGCACTTTTAATTCGACCCCGCCGATTTAATAATACGGTTTTCCGTCTCCCTCGATTAAAGCGGCGCTTCGGCACGACGGAACGGAACTTCGCGGACGTGAGAATTAATTAAATCGAAGAATCAGCTTTTATGTAACCCTGCGTAACTAATATAACGTGACCGTTAACTGATATAACACGATATATGAAGTAATTGATAAATCAACGGCGTCAATTGCTAACGCGACGTCTGAACTTTTGTAATTCTATAGTATTATTATCTTGAATGATTACATATTTTCAATCCCCTGAAAATTATTACAGACATAATATACCGCGTCGCCTCAAATGGTTTATAAGATAAACTGTTAGACGTTCGTTTTTTGTAAAGTAACTGTTGCGCCCAAATTAGCTGTTGGATGCGTTAATAGAAAAATAGAATTTTGAGTATAAAATTTATTTTAGAAATTTTATGATGATTAGAATAATATACGCGAGGTTATTTTTTTATTTATATATCTTTTGTTTGTAATATTTTCAAAACAGTAATTAAGTTTGTTCGCGTTACTTAAAGTTCTCACAAATTTTTGCACTTAAAATGAGATAACTATATATTTGGACATTGAAGAAAGAAAAAGCAAAGATGTGTTAAGCGCAAAAATTGCAATCAACACGGATAATAGATCTGGTGTAATTTGATAATCAAGCAAAATTTTCTTCGCAGAAAAATAATGCAATAGTCAAATTGCACATATACACAAGAAAACCTTCTTATGTACAGCTCTAGTTTCTTAATTACCTGGTTAACTTATGGTTTAAACTTAATCTCACTTAATTTAATAATGTAAAAATTATGATTTTCTTAATCACTAAACTAATGGTTTTGTAGTGGTAACTTTGAAAGTTATTCACTACAGAAACCATCAGTCAGTGGTCATTAATAGACAGAAAAATACAATCTTTACGTTTACAGTATTATTAGGTTAAGCCTAATCACAAGTTAACTAATAAATGAAAAACCGGGCCTTAAGATTAATTTCCTCGTGTGCAACTCAAGCCCGTTTCTATCAATGTAATTTAATTTTAATCTTGGTTTCATTATTTCTATATTTTATTTCTAATTCTAAGAATTAGAAAGGATGAAGTAAGTTGAACCGAGATTAAATAAAAACGGACATTAGATAAATATTATAACTGCTCGTTTGTTATTGTAAGTACAAAATGCGAAGATCCAATACCACAAACATGCAGGTCGGTTATCTGCTCTCGATCGCGATCACCGCAATGGAAGTGCTCGCAATTTTTACGAGGGGAAAAAAAAAAAACATCGACTATTGGTGTCCCCGCACAGACCATGCGGAAAATGCCGGATCGTCAGGCCATTCCGCCATTTCGTTGCGCCTGACTCTCTCGCGTGGAAATCCACGGCGGCAGATCCAGGAGGAAAGAGGACGTGTGTTTGTCTTCGTGCTGAAGATCGTTTCCTCTGATAGACAGCGTCAGGTAATGGCTTCCCCAGCAATGGGATCTCAAGCGTATCGTTTTACAGGGTGGGGTAAGACGCTGTCGCTGGATTACGTCAGTCGGTCGGTCGGTCCGTGAGACGCCCTCGGGACGACTGGGGACGCGAAGAGGGTAAGGTTTTCACGAAGGTTCATGGCTACATCAATCGGTCGGTGTACGTGCGTACGTGCTCGACGTACGTACGTGAGCGTAAACTGTAGGCGGTATGCGCACCCTGAGGTCGCCTCTGTGTGCACGTTCATAGGGTCGGTTGCGTTCGAGACGGAGCGTCGCGTCGCGTCGCGTCGGAGGGTTCGGGCACATACGCGCGTGTACCCGGTAAATTGATCCAAGATCAAAGCCGAAACAATCACAGGACCCACTTCCAACCGCTCCTCTCTCTCTCTCTCTCTCTCTCTCTCTCTCTCTCTCTCTCT